TTACAATTTTTCGATTGTTCCTATTGCAGCTATATATATATATATATATATATATATATATATATATATATATATATATATATATATATATATATATATATATATATGTATATATATAGTCCACCGATTCGCTAAGCTCCGATTTATATACTAGTAAAATTATATAAGAGAATAACTCCATAGTTTCATTGAAATAGCTTTAAATTTGTTCCAAAACAAATCTCGCACATCTGTACATATGATTCCCAACTGGTTCTAACATCCCCGGAACGAAGTGACTGCTGCCGGCCTCGTTTAAGATATGTGTTGTGTTACAAAAGTTGCAAGTCATTGTTTACAAGTGTTTAAAGTTAGTAACTGATCATACATATTTACTCGTCATAGGTACTTACTTATCATAGATACTTACTGATCATAGTTAATCAGTGGTCATACCTTACTTACTGTTCAGAGTTACTCACTGCTCATAGATACTTACTCTTCAGAGTTACTTACTGCTTATAGTTAATTACTGATCATAGTTCTATAAATCGTCCGATTGTTCCTATGACAGCTATATATATGTATATATATAGTCCACCGATCCGCCATGCTCAGATTTATATAGTAGTAAAATTATATAGAAGAAGAACTCCATAGTTTCATTGAAATAGCTTTAAATTTGTTCCAAAACAAATCTCGCACATCTGTGCATATGATTCCCAACTGGTTCTAACATCCCCGGAACGAAGTGACTGCTGCCGGCCACGTCTCAGAAATGTGTTGTGTTACAAAAGTTGCAAGTCATTGTTTATTTGTGTTCAAAGTTAGTAACTGATCATACATACTTACTCGTCATAGGTACTTACTTATCATAGATACTTACTGATCATAGTTAATCAGTGGTCATACCTTACTTACTGTTCAGAGTTACTCACTGCTCATAGATACTTACTCTCCAGAGTTACTTACTGCTTATAGTTAATTACTGATCATAGGTCTATATATCGTCCGATTGTTCCTATGGCACCTATATGTATATATATAGTCCACCGATCCGCGATGCTCAGATTTATATAGTAGTAAAATTATATAGAAGATTAACTCCATAGTTTCATTGAAATAGCTTTAATTTTGTTCCAAAACAAATCTCGCACATCTGTGCATATGATTCCCAACTGGTTCTAACATCCCCGGAACGAAGTGACTGCTGCCGGCCACGTCTCAGATATGTGTTGTGTTACAAAAGTTGCAAGTCATTGTTTATTAGTATTCAAAGTTAGTACCTAATCATACATACTTACTCGTCATAGATACTTACTGATCATAGTTAATTAGTGGTCATACTTAATTACTGTTCAGAGTTACTCACTGCTCATAGATAATCACTGCTAATAGATACTTACTCTCCAGAGTTACTTACTGCTTATAGTTAATTACTGATCATAGGTCTATATATAGTCCGATTGTTCCTATGGCACCTATATGTATATATATAGTCCACCAATTCGCCATGCTTAGATATATATAGTAGTAAAATTATATAGAAGATTAACTCCATAGTTTCATTGAAATAGCTTTAATTTTGTTCCAAAACAAATCTCGCACATCTGTGCATATGATTCCCAACTAGTTCTAACTTCCCCGGAACGAAGTGACTGCTACCGGCCACGTCTCAGATATGTGTTGTGTTACAAAAGTTGCAAGTCATTGTTTATTAGTATTCAAAGTTAGTACCTAATCATACATACTTACTCGTCTTAGATACTTACTTATCAGTGGTCTTACTTACTTATTAGTGGTCATACTTAATTAATGTTCAGAGTTACTCACTGCTCATAGATACTCACTGCTCATAGATACTCACTGCTCATCGATACTTACTGATCATAGATACTTACTCTTCAGAGTTACTTACTGTTCATAGTTAATTACTGATCATAGGTCTATAAATCGTCCGATTGTTCCTATGGCACCTATATATATGTATATATATAATCCACCGATTCGCCATGCTCAGATTTATATAGAAGTAAAATTATATAGAAGAAGAACTGCATAGTTTAATTTAAATAGCTTTAAATTTGTCTCAAATCAAATCTCGCACATCTGTGCATATGATTCCCAACTAGTTCTAACTTCCCCGGAACGAAGTGACTGCTACCGGCCTCGTCTCAGATATGTGTTGTGTTAAAAAAATTGCAAGTCATTGTTTATTTGTGTTCAAAGTTAGTAACTGATCATACACACTTACTGGGCATAGATATTAACTGATCATAGTTACTTATTGGTACTGCTCAGATTTACTTACTGCTTATAGATACTTAATGTTCTACTTACTGTTTATAGATACTTACTTTAATTAATTGAAATAATAAACTCGAAAATTCTTACCTCATTTTGGGATATATTCATATATTAATTCACCTAAAATAACCCAGAAACCATTAAGTTGAAGTCAAATCTAAGCAAATATATCTTTCCTTTATTATCTCAACAAAGCATGCAATATTTCCTTGAGTTTCATTACCGGAATTAAAATAATAAAAAAAAAATAAAAAAAGAAGATCCAAAAGATATTGTTTTACTATGCATTACTTAAATTAGTTTAACAATCAAAAAGAAATCTTTTTTCTGTTACTGGGTGTGGTGCTTAATTAAAAAGTTGCCTTTTTAAGGAGATCATTTATATTTATTATATATATCTTACACTACTTTGTTTATTTCTTCTTTATATGTTCCATTTTGATGTTAATCTAACATCTGCGATTTGCTTTTAAGCCAACGCCCTGGCCCTGGCTTTTTCTCTGCCTTATTTTCTGTTGGATTTTTGTTATTTGTTGTCCGTCCCAGGAGCCAACGCCTAGAAATATATATACATATATAAATAAAAAACAAAGTGTATAAAAAAAGGAAACGTTGGAGTCGCTGTCACGCTTTTGCCTTCTTTCGCCGTTTATCGCCCCTTTGTGCTTGCTGTTTTGCCTTTTTGAGAAATTAGAATGCAAAATCCAACCCAGGCTCATCAGCACCCCTTTAATTTTTCCCCCTGGAAACTCCACACACTCACACACCTTTGTGCCATTTTCTCTGTGCTTTCCTCCTTACTTATTATTATTATTTCCCCTCTTTTTGTTTTATTATTTATTTAAGCTTTTCCTCTCGACGTTCTTAATTTATGTTTGGCGTTGCTGCTGCTGCTTTTTATGGGAGTTGTTGACTCATCCGGGGCCCGGCGATTCATAAGCTCTGATTAGCAGGCACGCGTCACGCTAATGAGTGGTTCTTCTTCTCGTTATTGCTACCGATTCTCTGACTATGCCTATATATATATGCATATATATAGTTTTTATTATATTGTATACCTTTCCAGGGTATTTTAATTTTAGTCAAAAGCTTAAAAACCAGTGAGGGAGTCATTTGCGACCATATAGATTATATATATTCTTGATCAGCATCAACAGGCGAATCTTTCTAGGAATGTATTAAAGAAACAAAATTTTTAAAATTTTTTTCCCCAAATTTTATAAGGGGTTACATCGTTAAAATTGCCAAAAATTGACAAAATATTTGAATTTTTTAACATTTTAAATGGAGTATGCAGATTTATTAAGCTAATACAAACTTACATAGGACAGCTTTCCGAATTGAAATTATTGCATTTTTGGCTTAGTTATGAGATTTTTAAATTTTGATTTGTCGAAAAATTTGCATATAAAAATATTGTTAATATAGGTATAAAAATGGTAATGGACCTTCAGTCAGAAGCTTTAAAATAAGTGAAGGAGTCATTTCCGACCCCATAAATCATATATATTCTTGATCAGCATCTACAGGCCTTTCTTTCTAGCTTTATCCGGCCGAAAAAATTTTTTTAAAGAAATTTCCCATTTTTTTTAAAAAAAGGAAAGGGGTTACATCATGAAAATTTGCAAAAATCGGTCAAAAATTCACATGTTAAATGGAGTATGCAGTTTTATTAACCTGCTAAAAATGAACATAGGAACGCTTTCCGAATTGAAATTAAGGCATTTTGAGCTAAGTTATGAGTTTTTAAGTCTGTGAGTTATCGAAGAAATTGTCATATAAATTATATCGATTCGAAGAATGCAAATATAGACAGCTGTTGTTTTAAATCAAAAGTTGGCTCTTAAATATAAACACAGATTTCTGATATCAAAAGCGACAAGTTTAAGTTACCATTTAACAAAGATCTGTTCAAAATCAGTTGTTAAAGTTAGTATAAACAGCTGTTTTTCAACTCAAAGCCGTTTTCCAAGTTGGCAATACAGCTGGGCCATTTGCAGCCACTAATTAATCTCCAAGGACGTTTGAGGAGTGGCTCTTGCAAATAAAAAAGCAAAGCAAAACACCTGCTTCGAACCTATTTGCAACAGTTATCGATGATGCAGCCCGATAGAAGTGTCATCGATGCTTTGACAGCCTGACTGCTGCCTGTTGAGTTTGAATTTATTGGAGCTGGAAGACACCAAATCCATTCAGAGGAGAAGCGGGGAGGAGGAGAGCCTGCAGCTGGAGGATCAGCGACATGTGTCGCCATGTAATGCAAATGTTATCTGCATTTCCTGTGGCGAATGAATGGCAATGCCAGGGCACAGACAGAGACAAGGATAGTGAGAGAGAGGGAGCAAAGACTCGTCTGGAGATGGAAGAAGGAAACCCACTGGCTGGCTACTCAACATGCAGACAGACAGAGCAGGAGGAGCAGGAGGAGCAGCCAGTGGAGAGGAGGAGATCCCGTCTGACAGGCTGTCTTTCAATCCCGTCTCCACATAAATCTTGCACGCAGTCTTTAGTCTTCAGTCTTCAGTCTTCAGTCTTGAGTCTTCTTCAGCCTCAGCCTCGCCTCGTCTGGCCGTGACAAAGTGTTCATCAATCAAGCGTATAGTTTTACATAATTAAATGCATAATCTGTGTAATATTCAGGACTATATATATTTATTTTTAGCAAAGCAATACAATAATCCAAGTAATTGAACTATTCTACATATCATTTTCAGATTCCTTTCAATCAAACGCATCCCGGAGTCCGGAGAACAGCCCCAAGATTGCTCCCATAAGCACCATGAACGGCCAGGGCTGCGAGCTGGGCCACAGCAATGGGGACATCATCTCACAGAATCAACAGAAGGGATGGTGGACCATTGGCGTGATTAATGGCCAGCACAAGTACATGACCGCTGAGACCTTTGGGTTCAAGCTCAATGCCAATGGGGCCAGTTTGAAGAAGAAGCAACTGTGGACACTGGAACCCTCGAACACCGGTGAAAGTAAGTCTTGTCATTAAATATAGAAATGGAAATTAATGTGGTTTATGTTTGATTTGATTTGATAAATATAATTGGAGAGCTTACAAAGATCTTTTAGAAGCTTTTGAACTCTTGATTGATGAAATGTAGATTTTGATAAGGAAATTGTTCAAGAATTGTGTTCCAAAATACAGAGAGACATCTCAGGGCTAATATGATTATAAATTCAGTATTTTTGCCATGAAGAAAGAGTTGCGAATCTTTAAACAACAATTAACCCTTTATTTGGCTCCGTTTTTAATTAGTTTAGGGCTTAGGGCTTATAGGGATTGTAACCCTTATCGACATCGATATAAATACTAGTCTTGAAAGGGGATGGATGGATGGATACTCATCCCCTATCGACATCGATACAAATACATATAAACGTAAATCAAATTTTTGAAAACCGAAAACGAAAAACAATGTAACACCAAATAGAATTTGAAACATTAAAGTGATGCCAAAATATGCAAATGCAAAGTTAATAGTATCTGGACATTTTGACGCTATTGCCAATATTGTCCTTGCGACCATGATCATGGCCGAGAGTCCTGCGGCCACGCGGCGACTGGGATACCTTCTGCTTGGCCTCCATGGCGGCACAGACAGCTCTGGAGGCGGCCTCCTTGGTCTTGTCATAATCGGCCTGGGCATCGGCCACACGGCGCGTGGCATTGGCCACACGCATCTTGGCCGCCTCCAATAGCTGGGTGCGTTCGGCCAACTGAGCCTGGGCCCCATTGGCCACCTTCTTGATGTTGGCCAAATTGCCGGCAATTTTCTCGGCCAGCGTGCGGAGATGGGTCAACTGGGCCTGAGCCTCATTGGCCGCCGATGTGGCCGCATTGGCATTGGCCTGTGTGTTCTCCAGGGAGACGGTCACCTCCAGGATCACAGCATTAGCCTCCTTGGCCTCCACCTGCAGCTGCTCGACAATCTGCTGCTTGCCCGCCAGTGCCGCCTCAGCCGCTCGAGCGGATTGGGACGCCTTGTCGGCCAGCTCGGTCTTCACCTGCATGGCAGCCGCCTCGGCTGCCGGCATTTGGGCATCGCTGGCGGCCTTGGCCTCCTGGGCCGCCTTCTGGGCAATATTCGAGGCCTTTTGCTTGGGATCCGATAGATTTATGCCGCATCCCTGTTTGTCATTGGTGTTCGTCTTGCCCGAACAAGAGGATTCCACTTCCGCACCACATCCTACGCCTCCACCACCACCAGTTCTGCCGCCATTGCCTCTGGTGCCAATGCCGGTGTCGATATCACCACCAGCATCTCCGCCACCGCTGGCGGCACTGATACCGCCTCCGCCATTGGAACCGATACCATTAACACCACCTACACCACCAGTTGCCTCCGCATACAAGCTGAGATCTCCGAAGAGTTCATCATCCAGCAGGGGATCGTAGGTGCCCAGGATAAGGGGAATCACATTCACGAAAAATATGAAAGTTAAGAAAAGTTTTGAATTCATTTTTGGTTTTTTAGTTTTATAATCGAAAAGTGAGAAAAATAGTAAGAACTTTTTTATTTTTGGATATATATTTTATTTTTGGAACACCGCACTGTATGAGAGATCTGATCGACTGAGAATGTGGAGCTGGGCTTAGGTCTTACAATGATTCCTATTTGAGTTCTAAATTTGTTTCCAAGGCTTACTTGATTTTATATATATTATATTGTATTTTCATGTAAGCTAAATAATGTTTATTATGTAAATTTATTTTTAAAAAATCAAGGTCTTGTTAAATACTATTATTTGGATTTTAATCAGAAGTTAGCAAAGCTTTAAGGGAGTCATTTCTCAGACTTTAAATCATATATTTTCCTTGTTGCTTATTTCAGGTTTTAGAATTAAATTTAATGCCTTTTAGGACTTTAAATTTATGAATTTATTAAAGTATTTATTTATTTATATACTTATATATTGATTTCTTCATTTATTTATATTTATTTATATATTTATCTATATATATATATTTATTTATATATTTATTTATATACTTATTTATATATTTATTTATGTATTTATTTATTTATATACTTATCTATTTATTTCTTCATTTATTTATATAATCTTTCTTTATTTATTAATTCTTCTTGAGCAAAACATTTCAAGTTCTTCAAAAAATAATTCCTTAAAGAAAAGTTCCCTTTCATAATGACTACATATTTATTCATTAAGCTTAAGTTATGTGATTTTTTGTATATTTTTTTTCAATGACACCTGCCTGTCTGACTTCCCACGATGGTTTAATCGGAATAATCGATGATACACCTTTGCATTTACATGGGAATAACCATGGTTTTGTTATCTATGAATCCTGATAAGCAGACGTTAATCCTCTGCTTTGGACAGCAAGTGATTTTTTTTATTTTTATTTTGTTGTTTGTTGGTTTCTATATATATAAGATATGTGTATATATATATCAACCAGTTATTTGCCACAACTCTTGGGGCCTAAATGGCGCAGAGTCGAAGCCATTTGCCAGGCTTAATCACTATCATCTTGGCCAGTTAGTGGCGTCTTTTACTTGCATTTTTTCTTCATTTTCTGTTGTTGTTGCTGTTTGTGTTTTATTTTCGTAACATAAATCATTGGGGGTCCGAGGCAAAGATAATTCCAGTTGCACTAATTTGACGGAGCCAAGAGAGTAGAAAACAAAGCGCCTCACGAATTTGGCATCATTTATCAGGCAACAAGCGGCTTCTGCATTGCAATTGGAATTGGATTTGGAGCTGGACGTGGCTTTGGACTTGGCTTTAAAGTTGGCTTTAAAAGTTGGTGCCTCGACTCGACTCGATGTTGGTTAGTCCGTGGCGAGGCAGGCAATTACAATTAAAGCTGGTAAAGCAACTGGTTTTCTTACTTATTTTTTATTATTTTTCTTTTGCCGCCACTCGTGGTCGTTGCCACTGGGCAATTAATAAACATTTTCTATAATACCAAAGCCATAAGTCAGCATTCGTTGTTGGCCATTAAAATAGCTCATCCAAATTGAAAAATAAAAAACACCAACCACACTTATTGTATTACTTGTTACGGTGGATTGGCGCAAATGGCTTAATAGATGATAGCATTCAAAATGTTTGGAAAGCGAGACAAATCGCCAATCGATAGATCGATGTCAGCGCCATGGATTATCGTTTTTATTCAGGCTCACTAATTGGTCACACAATCAAAACAAAAATGAACAGAGAGAGAGATAATTAATACAAAATCAATGATTAATGCAGCTTAATCAACTTAACAAAACTACTTTTTAATCGTTAAGTATTATAAATGTACAAGAAATTTAAGTAAAATCAAGCAATATCGATAACTGGTTAGCATAACAATCAATTATCGAATTTGTATGCTGTGTATATAGATGAAGAAGCAAGGCAATAAGTTGATCCTTAAGTTAATCCTGCTTCAAAGGGGATTTTCGTAATTACAAACTGCTAAAAAATAAAGTCAAATAGTATAAATTATTTATATTATATTAATTATAATATATATGTAATAATAAACATATTTTATGGATATTAAATGCTCTCTATTTACGTAAATAAGTATATAGTAAGCTGATTTATAACTTATCTAGTCAGTTTTATAGAAATAGTTGCAGTCATAAAATTCCTATTACAATTACTATCATAACCACTACTATTTCTATTACTATTATTCCAATAATTCTTCCAAAATAGTAATACAATTCCAATCTTTTTCATATCTTTTCCAATAGGTATTATCTACTTACGATCTCATCTGAACAAGTACCTTTCGGTCGATCAGTTTGGCAATGTGCTTTGCGAGAGCGACGAACGGGATGCTGGCAGCCGCTTCCAGATCAGCATCAGCGAGGATGGCAGCGGTCGTTGGGCGCTGAAGAATGAGTCGCGTGGCTACTTCCTGGGCGGCACGCCCGACAAGCTGGTCTGCACGGCCAAGACCCCGGGTGCCAGTGAGTTCTGGACCGTACATTTGGCCGCCAGGCCGCAGGTTAATCTGCGTTCCATTGGACGGAAGCGTTTCGCCCATCTGTCTGAGTCGCAGGATGAGATCCATGTCGATGCCAATATTCCGTGGGGCGAGGATACGCTCTTTACACTCGAGTTTCGTGCCGAGGAGGGAGGACGCTATGCCCTGCATACGTGCAACAACAAGTGAGTGGTATCCAATCTCCATTCTAAATCCTTACTAATTACATTTCTTGGTTATATTTGCAGATATTTGAATGCCAATGGCAAACTTCAGGTGGTGTGCAACGAGGACTGTCTGTTTAGCGCCGAATATCATGGCGGTCATCTGGCGCTGCGCGATCGCCAGGGTCAATACTTGTCACCCATTGGATCGAAGGCTGTGCTCAAGTCACGCTCCTCGACGGTCACCCGGGATGAGCTCTTCTCGCTGGAGGACTCACTGCCGCAGGCCTCGTTCATTGCCGGCCTTAACTTGCGGTATGTGAGCGTTAAGCAGGGCGTCGATGTGACGGCCAACCAGGATGAGGTGGGCGAGAATGAGACATTCCAGTTGGAATACGATTGGTCGGCACACCGCTGGGCCCTGCGCACCACCCAGGATCGCTACTGGTGCCTGTCCGCCGGCGGTGGCATCCAGGCCACCGGAAATCGTCGTTGTGCCGACGCATTGTTCGAATTGATCTGGCACGGTGATGGTTCGCTCTCGTTCCGGGCCAATAATGGCAAATTTTTGGCCACCAAGCGTTCCGGTCATCTGTTTGCCACCTCGGAGTCCATCGAGGAGATTGCCAAGTTCTATTTTTACTTGATTAATCGGTAAGTTTTAATATGGGTTTGTTATTTAACCTCACCCAGCTATTAATTTGCTTCTCTTTTTACTTGGGCAGACCCATTCTTGTGCTGAAGTGTGAGCAAGGATTCGTGGGATATCGTACTCCCGGCAACCTAAAGCTGGAGTGCAACAAGGCCACCTATGAGACCATATTGGTGGAGCGCGCCCAGAAGGGTCTCGTGCATTTGAAGGCGCACAGCGGCAAGTATTGGCGCATCGATGGCGAGAGCATCTCGGTGGATGCCGATGCGCCCAGCGATGGATTCTTCCTGGAGTTACGCGAGCCAACCAGGATCTGCATAAGGTTCGGAGGATATATCAATGCCAATACTGGCAGTTCTAAATTTGGTCAAAATAATAGCAGTAGGAGTAGGAATGTATATCAAGAGGAAAAGTCGTACTATAAATATCGTAATATATTTATAAATATGATATTTTTATAAATCTATATTTAAATAATTCAAAAACATCACATTATAGTTAAATTGTTTGAAATTATTAGGAAACATCCGAAAGAATGTTATAAATTTGTATCTTTCCTATAATATTGCATAGATATATTATAAATAATATCAATTTATCGTATATATGCATATCGCAACGTTAAAAGATTGATTTGTATATCTAGATTAGCATCAAAATCGATACAGTAACTATATTTAGATGCTTTCTGCTAGCCCTAGTTGAAAGTATTTCTCTTTCTTAGATTTCTATGAACTAAAATGTATACATATCCGATTATTATGTGAAAAATTCTTCAAGCAATTAAAGAAATAGATTTTCTTTTAGAAAAAATGATCTTTTGTATCAAAATCCTTTATATCTAATTAATGTTCTGAAAGTTTTCTACTTTATATGTATTTTTCATAATAATGTAGTAACCCTACATTCTTCTGTATTTTAATGAATTATAATATCTATTGATCAATATGTGTATTGATAATAGTCGCATTAAGTTTTTACTAGAAAAAGCTTTTATTCTGACCAAAAAGTGTGTAAATTCTTCTACAAATTAACATTAAACTTGGTTACTAATATAATTTAAATTCTACCTCTTTACAGATCGCAGCAGGGCAAGTATTTGGGCGCCACTAAAAACGGAGCCTTCAAGCTGTTGGACGATGGCACCGACTCGGCCACCCAATGGGAGTTCTAGGGCGTTCCTCCACTCATCCCACCCACCACCATTCCGGTCGTCAGTATCATCACATGTCCCCCATTTCCATGCCCAAAGTCTCGATGAGGAAGGAGCTGCAGTGAAAGTCGCACAAGAAGAATTTGATCCTAAAAAAACAATTAAACGAAGAGAGGGAAAGAGCGAGGATGAAATTGAAACACACATATTTATATATATATACTACATATATATATATCTATATATTTACTATATATATATAAATAAAGATTATGATAAAGATCTATATCGTATACATAAAGAGAAAGAGAAAAAGAGAGGGATTTTTTTAAACACACAACCAACCTACTTAGCTTTTTATACGTTTTTATATACGAAGATATGAAAAATGAAAGAAAACCAGAAAATATATATATTAAAATGCAGAACTTTTGTCGCAAGCGAGTCCTTCCGTTTTTTATCAAACAACAAAAATATATCAGCAACTAAGCAAGAGCAAAATTAAGATCATAATGGTTATATAGCAAGCACATCATATATTCACACACAAACACACACACACACAACCTATATAATAAACATAATCAAACGGAATTAAATAAAAAGTAATAATTTATAAAAATAAAGAGGATCGAAAGAGTAAAGGAAGAGTGAGGAAAGCATGATAAATGAGAATGATAATGAATCAAGAATTATATAAAATAAATCAACACATATTCCTATAAATTATTTATATATATATTTATATACATATTGATATGAACACTGACCCACACACACACCCACACAATTGAAAACACACACACACAAAACACTCAAGCAAGCAATTTTTAATACGCAAAAAACACATTTTAGTCGCTAAGCAAAAACTTAAAAAAAGTTTAATCTGTAATAAAAAATAAAACAAAAAAAAAAATTAAAAACCGAAGAAAAAAAACAAACAGAAAACAAATCTCTCCGTACTGCGATTTTTCAATGGAATCAACTCCAACTATATATCTAACATATGTATGCATAATATATATATTGAATTAGTTTTTTGTTATTTATTTGCATCAACTCTTTCTTAATTAATTAATTAGTAATCAATGTTTTTTTTTTGTAATCTGTGCACTTCAACTCGAAATCGAAACCAGAAAGAAAAACAAAACTCAAACCCATTTAGTTGCTAAATCTTCAAATGGAAATTTTGTATGATACATATGAAATATATACATATATATAAATGATTATGTTTAATTGCATTTTGCTTGGTATTGTTTTGTGGGATTATTCGAGAGCTTTCCGAATTGAATTTGATATTTTTAAATTTGATTTGTCTTATAAAATAAATAGATAAATATCGGTTAAAAATGGTATTCTAATTTTAATCAGAAGCTAATAAAGCAGTCAGGGAATCATTTCCGACCCTATAAATCATATATATTCTTGATCAGCATCAACAGGCGAATCTTTTTAGACATGTAGTATAGAAAGTAATTTTTGGTTAATTTTTTCGAATTTTTATAAGGGGTCGCATCGTTAAAATTGTCAAAAATTGAAAAAAAATTTAAATTTCTTTAACATTTTAAACTAAGTACGCTGATTTATTATTCTTTAAAAAACTAACATAGGACAGCTTTCCGAATTAAAATTAATGCATTTTTGGCAGAGTTATGGGATTTTTAAAACTTTAGTTTTTCGAATATTTTCATATTAATAAATATATAAATATCTGTTACAAAATGGTATTCTAATTTTAGTCAGAAGCCTCAAACGTTATGAAAGAGTCCTTTCCGACCCTATAAATCATATATATTCTTGATCAGCATCAACAGACGAATGTTTCTAGACATGTAGTAAAGAAACTAAATTTTTGTAAATTTTTCCAAATTTTACAAGGGGTTAAAATTGTTAAAAATTTATGAAAAAATTAAATTTTTTAACATTATGAACTGAGCTTGCAAATTTATTATCCATACAAAAACTAACATAGGACAGCTTTCCGAATTAAATTTAATGCATTTTTGGCTTAGTTATGAGCTTTTTAGACTTTGATTTAACGGAAAAATGGTCATAGAGTTTAGTTATGATCGATTTCTTATTCGATCTCATAATTAAAATGCAAACTGCAAGGCTATAGAGGATGGTTTTCTATCTTGATATTGGTAAATTTTTATTAAACAAATAAAAATATAATTTTAATTACAAAGTTTACTTTATGAACAAATACGAATAATTATTTAATATGCTCGCGATGTTGGTTAACAACTAAAGTGAAGTGCAATTGTTAGTGGCTGCATAATGCAATAAGTCAGCTCCTGATTGAGCGACCTCCTTTCCGCAACGCCCACGAGCAGAGCCAGAGCCAGACCCAGACCCAGAGCCAGAGAGTCCCCACCTGCAACGTGTGCTGAAATTGGTGCCAACTGTCACAAGAAGATGGGGCCGCCACTCGTGGTGGAACAATGCGACGGGAATGGAAATGGAAATGGAAATGGGACTCCAACTGCAACTGCAACCTGGGACCGAGTTGAGTTGGCGTCCAACTGCCTGCCTTGGCCAGGCAATAATAATTCGCCAGTCATTGACAATGTCGGTGCCATAATGGCTCTCCACTGGCTCCCCAGTCCCACTGTTCTGCATGTCCTTCTCCCTACGGCTGTGCTGTCCTTTGCTGCACTGCGTCGTCCTCGTCCTGCGTCGTCGCTGACAAAAACGAAATGACAGAGGGCGCGCGCACACCCGACACCTACAATTGTCAGCGTCGTCTAAATGAATGAATTAAGTCAGCCATGTGACATAACTGCAATGGCCGGACTCGGGCCAAGGAGCGGAGGCCACTGCCAGGACATCAGCAGTGGCAGCAGTGGCAGCAGCGCCTCCTGATCCTCCCCCATCGCCGGCATACAGCCACGTTGCACATTTGCCACATTGTTTTGTTGCTGTCAGTCGTTGATGTCATTTGTACCGTGTACCGTGGTCATTTCTCCTTTGATTCTTACACAAAATTTAATCCACGATCTTGCCAAAATGTAAATGGACAATAAATTAATCATATTAAAGTTTTAAAAAGTATTAAAATCGCCTTGTTAATGCTGAACTAGAATATATTTACTTCATAGATTCGGAAATAGCACCTTTTTAACGTTGCAATATTCTGACTATAATTAGAATAACCTGTAAGGGTATAATAAAAGAGGGTTGATATATGTGCAAACCAAGTTAATTTCTTTTAAACCTATTTATTAATTGTTATTTTCTTTGATCCAATTATCCAAAAACGCCTTTTCAACACAAATTGAATCGAAACAGGAAATGGTTAAGAAACGGGGCCAGCTGACATTGACGCCATTGCCGAATTTCCTCTCTCGCCTAAAAATGGCAGAGAGAGAGAGAGTCGCAGAGCGGCCTCTTCCGGCGGCCATTGCAAATCAGTTACTCCCGCGATCTATGTTAACTTACAGATCTGTTAATCTACTTTACTTTCTACATGCCATTTTTACCCCATGTATCTGTAAACATGTATAATGTTAACATGGGTCTGTTAAATTACAGGAGCCAACTGTTGCCATAACAGACGAAGGAATAGAAAGCAAAACGAAAAAAACAGCGCGAACACCTGCACGCGTGCAGATCGGTCGGAAGAAAAAATTAAATTCCGGGAAAACTAGCTGCGGAAAAACCCTGGAAAGTGGTGGAAGTGCTTCAGGACAGTGAGCTCCAGCAGTGGAAAGTGTTGGTGAAGTGGGGGAAAGCCTGAAACAGCCACAATACGAAAGCCGGGCCGCTGCCGTTTTTTTTCCCCTTGTGGGTGCATGTGTGTATATGTAAATAGCCAAAGATCAGTGCATTTTCCTTGGCCAGTTAATTTGGTTGGTTTTTTTTGTATGTGCAAGTGCTACAAATGTGAAGAAAATGCAAAGAAATGTACCATAACCTTCAAATAACGCTTTATATATTTTTTTTTGTGTTTGTGTCTTCGTCTGCTAATTCGCCGTTGGGATCTGCTGCAGCAACAAGTGTGAACGAGTGAGTGAAACAAAACTATATTCTTTTGGTGATTTTTTCCTTTTCTTGTTCTTGTTGTGAAAGCGCCGTTATTGGCTCGGTTTGTTTTGCCTCTTGAAAGTAGAACCTAAGAGTGAGAGAGCTATCTTAACAGAATACGATCCGCTCTTTTCGTTGTCAGTGTTTACATTTGGACAGCTGCCTTTGTTTATCTTTTTTGCTTGGCAATTTATAAATTGGGGAAAAATGCTAGCGCAATTTAATGAAGCTCAACTTATATTATTATTTACTTTAAGCCTTATATATTATAAATTCTATAAATCGATTTTTATCTATATATTTATATGCCAAATTATTTGACAAATCAAAGCCTAGAAAACTCATAACTCAGTCAAAAATGCATTAAATTTAATTCGGAAAGCTTTCCTATGTTAGTTTTTATTAGGTTAATAAATTTACATACTCAGTTTAAAACGGTAAAAAATTTAAATTTTTATAAATTTTTAACAATTTTAACGATGTAACCCCTTATAAAATTTCGAAAAAATTTAAAAATTTTTTTTTCCTTTACTACATGTCTAGAAAGATTCGTCTGTTGATCCTGATCAAGAATATATATGATTTATAGGGTCGGAAATGACTCTTTCATAGCGTTTGAGGCTTCTGACTAAAATTAGAATACCATTTTTAAACCGATATTTATATATTTAATAATATGAAAATATTCGATAAATTAAAGTTTTAAAAATCCCATAGCTCTGCCAAAAATGCATTAATTTTAATTCGGAAAGCTGTCTTATGTTAGTTTTTCAAGGGATAATAAATCTACGTACTCAGTTTAGGATGTTAAAAATTTAATTTTTTTTTGTCAAATTTTTATCAATTTTTACGATGTAACCCCTTGTAAAATTTGGAAAAAATTGATAAAAATTTTGTTTCTTTACTAAGTGCCTAGAAAGATTCCCCTGTTGATGCTGATATGATGATATGATATGATATGGTTTATAGGGTCGGAAATGATTCCTTCACATCGTTTAAAGCTTCTGACTCGTATTATAATACCCAGCAAGGGTAAAAAAACCCGAAATTGTGAGCAATTTGTGTATTTTATTATTTTGAATTGAAAATGAGGTGGAGACCAATGTGCATCGTGGTTGCTGGCCACTGCTGTTGTGATTACGTACTGCATTCGGTGCACAATGGACAGCGACGATGACAATGACGCCAGGACAAAGTTATATGGCACACACGTAGGGCAACTCC